TAAGAAGAAGTCTTACGGATTTGCAGTTATTCCAGGTGATATACATAGACTTCTACACTTCTATTTTGGAAATCTGAGAACAAACCTGCAAGACGAGGTTTACGGATTTGCAGATATACCATAAGACTGACATAGACTTCCGCAAAATAAAGTACATTTTAAACTTGGAAATGGTCCATTTATCAACCTAGATACACTTCACATGAATAACAAATCGGAGAAGAACAAGAAGGAAATCCAGAAAGACATAAGCTTTACGGCTTGTCATATATACCAGGAGATAACATTTGAATCTCTCCGAGAAACCCTAGAAAAAGCTCTATACTATAATATTATATATATATTATATATAAACAAATTTACGACCGATTCTTCCCGTAGAGCTTTAAGATAAAGTAGTCCGACATGAAGAAGACTTTGCTTAGATATAAGCAGCTAATAAAAGACTCGATGAAGTTTTGTTAATATTGCTTGAAAATCAGTAAAGTTTTTCTTAGAAGAACCGATGTGATATATATAATATATATATATATATATTTTTTTTACATTATAATTAATTTTATTTCAAATCTGCCCGCTATGTGATATATATATAAGTTCTATTTCGAGCAGTTCCTAAAGGACCAACTTTTCGGACTTGCCCAAGAAATGTGCCCCCGATTTTCTCCGAGTGTAGTAAAGTGTGAGTGTGGCAAAAAAAAAGCGGAAAAAGAAAAAGGCTAACGCCGTGGCGACGTCTAAGTGAATTTGCCTGAGCCTGGCCTGGCCTGGCCTAAACTCGCCCGGCATTGCCTTAGGTCAGGCACGGACATTCGACATTGGGCAAAGGATTCTTCAGCCGGCGCAGCAACTGCTCCTTTGGGTCCTTTGCGGCGGCGACGGCGGCGGCGACGGCGACGGCGGCTGCTGCTGCGTGAGAGCTGCATGAAATTTGCATTAATTTGCCCGCTGCTCGCACGCAATAAAAACCAAATTATTTCGATTCTTCAAATAAATCACAAATTTTGACCAACAATCGGCAGCTGCAACAACAACAACTGCTGCTGGCAGCGACGCCAACGTCGACGTCTGTCATCGTGGCCATTGCCGAGTTCAGTGTGTCAATAGCTTCGGCTGCTGAGCGACCGAGCCGAACGCAGCCGAGCGCTGCCGAGCGACGGCCGCAGAGCGCGGCTGCTGACTAAAGCGCGCGCTTGAGCACTGAGTGTCGAGTCGAGTGCGTTGCAAAAAGCTCAAGAGTAATTTGAGTGGCCGGCGTTGAGTGCAACTCGCGGCTGAATGTGTGGCAACGCTGCACAGCTGCGCCACAGTGCCACGCAGCGGCAGAAAGTTTGCTTGGGTTTGCGACTCGACTAAGCTGTCGCGCAGCTTTTCAACACGCGCGTGCTTTTTGCTTTGTTCGAAAAAAAATTGTTTGCTTAGCTGCCAAAGGATTTGCAACTTAAAGGAATTTACATACATTAGACCCGGGAGCGGGGGATTTGTTTTGTTAGCCGGCTCAGAGGGCCAAAGGCAGGCAATTCAAATCCTTTTACTTCCGCTTTAAGCAAAACAACGATAAGACGCAGGCCCGAGACAGATGCGGCTGATAGCAAAGATTCACACCCAGCCCCCCAGCCCCCCAGCCCACAACCCGCACCCCATTCCAAAACCCATCAGCTAAGACGCGTGAGATGCGTTAAAAAAAAGAATATGATTAGATATTGTACTATATATTGTGTATTGTATATTATGCAGGACGGGTCTGTTGCACGAAAAGGGTTGACAGTTTACAACCCCCTTTTCACACCACACCCCGCCCCCCCTTTCGGCAGCCCCTTCCCCGATTCGAGGTACACAAAGCAGAGACACTTTTGAGGCAATCAGCGCCCCCAGGCTCAGTAGACAGCAGCAACAGCAGCTGCTCGACTTGGAGATACCCTCTAAACAACAATTAAGATACATTCACCTTCTAATATAAGACAAACAGATTGCACGATGTGCTACTTCCTAACCCAGTTCCACTTTCGGAACTTGAACTTACAGTCCAATCGCTTATTTCTTATAATTCTTATAAGAATTGGACAGCGCTCCAAATAGTGAAATGCACTCATCTGTGTAGAGTTAGCGAGAGCCAATATGCCAAGCTAACTCTTATAATCAATCTCATACAAAAGTCAAACTAAATCTTATACAAGAGATAACTCAACACTTATAATCAATCTCTATGTACTATACGAGAGCCAGAGTAACTCTAATAAACTCTTATAATCAAACTCTACATACTGTACGAGAGTGAAAGTAACTCTTATATTCAGTCTCCAAATACTATACGAGAATGAAAGTAACTCTTTAAAAGTGAAAGCGTTAAATCGATTAATATCGATTGGATTCGATTACTTATAACTAATTTGATTTACGTATATAAGAACTTATATTCCTTATTTTTCTTGCTCTTATATTAAGGAGATATTTTCAGTTTTTTAGCGAATAGTTTCTGGAAAGAGAACAATTTTTTCTGAGAAGAAAACTATTATCTAATTTTCCGAATAATGTCTACTTTCACACAGAATTTTCGAAATATTATGTGTGTCAGCCAATATACCCCACATTTGTAATATGTACAGGGTATTTGAAAAGGCAGCAACAAGGAGCGCGGCTCAACAACAATGGCGGCATTCAATTTTTAATATTTGCCTTGCAAATTTAGCATAAAATGCATTTGTTGTCTGCATACGACCGCCTCCACGGCCACGCCCACGTCAACGGACGGGATGGCGATAGACGGCGACAGGAAACGGGCACGGTGAAAAGCGGGGGGGAAAGTGAATGGGGGAAAATGGGAAAATGAAGAGCGTGGGCAATGTCAACACATGGAAATTTGCAAGGACAACGGGCAAAAACTAGCATCGAGGCCAGGTGAAACCAAGGAATACATATACCGTGTGCGGGGGGGAGAGGGCAGTCGAGGGGGGGGGAGAGAGTACTGCAACGGCGGAAGCAATAAATTGGTTAGGTAAAAAGCTTGTCCTAGACGTAGACACATGAGCAAAAAACGGCCACGCGAGACACGGCCGTAATTTGTGCACGGAGCGGGGGGCGAGGGGGGGACTAGAGGCGGGGGGAGCGGGGGAGCGGGGGTAACGGTCGTATCACACGAAGTGAATGCAGTTCCTTTGAAGCACATTCAGGTATCCATAAAGGTATTTGCTCATGCGGCCGAGAATTAATAGAAAAGCGGGCAGAAAGTGGCAGCCGACAGGGAAAACAACAACAATTAGGGCTCAAATTTAAGAGGCAGCCAAAGCAGTTACGGGCCACAAACTGGTTACAGTTACAGTCTGCGAGAATTAACCATATATAATGTACATATATGTACATATATGCAGGGGATTGGATACGGGGAACTAGACTGGAGCTATCTACAGTCAGCCGACGTCTGAGATACCCTTACATAGGAGGAAAGAGGATGGGATTGCTGGATAGATATACATATATATATATACTAGCGGGTAGCCAGATTTAGATGCCAAATTGAGGAAGAGTCCAAGCCATGAACAAAGACACAAACCTCGTGAAAATCTGTTGAGTTTTGGCCGAGTTATGGGGGTGGGAAATTTTGAGCCATGTCTATATAAGCCTAGCGGTAAGTTTTTGGCTTGAATTTCGACCAAAAAATGTGTGGTCAGATTTAAATGCCAGATTATTTTTGAGGGAAAACCATGAACAAAGACACAAACCTCGTGAAAATCGGTTGAGTTTTGGCCGAGTTATGGAGGTGGGAAATTTTGACCCATGTCTATATAGGATAATAGCGGTTATACATGGGCCTTGCCCTTGGCACGTTTAAAATAAATGCTGTCAAAGATGTTTAAAAATTATTTAGAAACCAATCGGATGGTAAGCAAAAAAATTTCATAAAAACGTTTTTCACGGTTTTTTCACAAATGCGAGTGGAAACGGAAACACATAAGGTAACTACAGTGAAATTTTACGGCGTTTGAGATAGCCTCACATACAATACATTAAACGGAAATAGGATATGTATATACAAATGTATTCCAATTTGTATATTCAGCGAAGTTCTCAATGTGAATTAGAATCGGAATGGAATATATATATATATATATACTCTCCCGCGATATACTCTATTTTAAGGTGCCAAAAGATTTCGATACTTACACAAAAAACTCAAATTTTCCAACCTCCAGCCGGATTACTCCTGGAGTAGATGTATGAATATAGTTGTTCGATTTGATGAGTTATGTGAGAAGTTTGACGAGTTGATGGAATTTTGTTGAGATAATTAAAAAACAGTTTTTCATATATTTCCTATGGGTTATGGATGATGCATGATATGGTGATCCATGATGTTGATGAGATGATTGTTTTAATATTGGGAGCATAATAAAGCTTTAAAATCAGCAAAGTTTTTTTTTTAACATTTCCGATAGTTCCTATGACATATATATTCGAAACGGGCAACTGCAAAAATAAAAAGAATCTATGTAAAGTTTTTTCTAGATAGATTTAAAGCCTGACTGAATCGCTTGCAGGAGAACAGACAGACACAGTATCGGACATGGCCTTATAAATCAAATATTGATACTGAACAGGAATATATATATTCATATTTGATGGAAACGGAGGGTATTAAAAAGGGCTGCAAACAGCTTCGAGCTCGTAATTCCAATTTATTTTTAGTTGTGAACCGAACCTTTAACGAATCCAGCTACTAAACCAGCTTAGAAAATGGTTTGGAACAAAATAAACGGAGACTTAAGCAAGGCTTAAACCGAAACCTGGCTTCAAGAAAGTGAAAATTGAAATTCCAAAGCAGGAAGCTGTGAACCGAACCTTTAACGAAACCAGCTACTGAACCAGCTTAGAAAATGGTTTGGAACAAAATTAAATACTTTTGAGAGAGACTTAACCAAGGCTTGAACCAAATCCTGCCTTAAAGAATGGGGAAATTGGAATTTTAAAGCAGGAAGCTGGTTCGAACCGTATTGCAGCCCTGGCATTTAAATGATGCCCTGTCTAATAACTATATCTTATTGGATTTCTTTACTTTTGCAGTTTTTTTGTGGGCCCATTTAGTCGAGGTGAACCTTCTTAATGGCCACGCTGGTTATTTCCGCCTCCTTGAGCTGCTCGTCCGTGGTGGAATTATAGATATGCTTCAAGTACAAATTGAAATAGTCGGTATAGTTCATCGGCGTGGAAATGCGATGTGTGCGCACCGGAAGCCGCGGCGACAGCGACAACATGCTCGCCCACTGTCCATCGCAAAGATCGTCGTAGCGCAGCAGGCCCACCTCGTGCCCGCCGAGATCCCCAGGCCCACGGCACATCGGCTGCTGGCCATCCCAGAGCTTGACGACAAACTCCCGTATCCAGCGCGCCAAGTACAAGGCGCGACAGTCGCAGTGCCAGGGATTCTTGTCCAGCTTGACGGCCAGCAGCTTGTCCAGGCCGTGCAAGGCGCCATGCGGCAGATACATCAGCTTGTTGGAGTCGATGCGGCTGCAAATAGGTGGAATAGGGGGAAAGTAGGAGAAAGTTGGCTTGAATTGAGTCTCATTTAACTCACAGTTTCTCCAGCTGGGTGAGCGGCGCGAAGGCGCGCGCATCAAAGTGCTTGAGTATGTTGTTGTTGAGCATGAGGATTTTGAGGCTGGCGAGGCCCTGAAAATCGTTGGCCTCCAGCGTGGTCAGGTTGTTCGAGAAGAGCGTCAGCCGGGTGAGTGCGCCGACCCGAAGGAACAAATCAGCCGGAATGCTGGACAAGGAATTCTGGCCGAGCAGCAGCTCATTAAGGTTCTTCAGCTCCGCAAAGGCATGTCCATGAATCTGGAAAGGGAAGAGCAATCCATGTTAACCAAGTCCAAGTTGTCCAAGGAAACCAACTCACATGGCTGATGCGATTCATGGTGAGATCGAGCGTGATCAGATTGACGAGATTATTGAACGTGGTCGCCGAAATGGAGCTGATGCGATTGTTGTACAGATTCAGAGTGCGCAGACTCTTCAGGCCCTCAAAGAAGTCGTCCTCGATCTTGGCTGAAAAAAGATGCTTATACTATAATAGAGATGAAAGCTGGAAGGATTTGCTGCTGCCTCACCAATTTGATTCCAGCCAAAGTCGAGGGCTTTCAGCTTGGTCTGCTGACGCATGCTGCCCGAGACGAGCTGCTCGATCCGGTTGTGCGACATGTCCAGCTCCTCGAGCATCAGCTGGTCGCGCAGCAGATTCGGCGGAAAGTTCTTGATTTGATTGTCGCACAAATTGATCACGGTCAGGCGTTGGGCGTGATAGAAAAGCGACTCCGGCAGCAACGAGATCGCGTTCTTGTGCAGATCGAGCAGATTAAGGTTGCGCAGTTTCCAAAAGGTGCGCGCATCAATGTCCTCCAGCTGGTTGTTCTGGATGCGACTGCAAAGAGGGAGAGAGGAAATATATATCCAAGTCAAATGGGAGGAGGAGGAGGAGTCGGGTCACTCACAGCTGCAGCAGGCTGTCCAGATCCCGGAACAGATCGAAGGGCAGAAAGTCGAGCTGATTGTTCGATATGTCCAGTTCCTTGAGCAGCGTCAATCCGCGGAATGTGTCCTTGTGCAGCGTGGAGAGCGAATTGCGCGACAAATCGATCGCAACCATATTCATGGGTATCACCTGGCTGACGGGCACGGTCTTCAAGTTCGTGTTCCAGCAGTTGAAGCTCTTGGTGTCCGGATTGCAGCGGCACACGCCGGACGTGCAATGATTCCACTCCAGCTCGCCGCCGCTGGCCAAATGCCAAACGGGCTGCTCCACGGAGCGCAGCCGGCTCTCGATTTGCCGCACGCGCTTATCGAACTCGGCTGGATTGAAAATGGCGCTGGCTTCTCCGGCTGGTTCCCTGCTCTGCGTCCTGCGCCTGGCCGTCTCCAGGGGCGCCGCAGCCATCAGCGTGCTGAGCGTTCCATTGGGCAGCGCCTTGATCAGCATCAGCAGCTGCGTTATGATCCGCAGCGTCTCGCACGCATTCAGCGTACAGTTGCGCGTGCCCGCCGAGAGCAAGGGCTGCAGATACCTCGCCCGGAACTCGTCCAGGCTCTGACTGTCCGTCTGAGAATGCGCCTCCAGCGTGAGGATCAGCAGCAGCCAAGTCCATAGGAATATCCAAATGAGCGACATGTTTGCCGACTATAGAGTGCCTCGCGCGCTGCTTGAGCCTATTTATAGGCAGCTTCAGCATCTTCATAATTCGAGCAATTTGCGAAAATTTGCATCATTTTTCCAGCAATTACCTTAAGTAGTTCAGAAAACCAGATGGGAATCCAGCTGAGCCGAAATTAATGCTCGCTTCTGCTGGCACTCCCCAATTTCTGGCTTTCCCACAACAACTATTATGTTTATAAGATATCAAGATATAGTTATATGGCAATTACTAAAGCAAAAGCAAGATTCAAGGACACTAGACTGGGGTTAGAACCAGCGACCTTACTTTTGGTTCAGCATACATATAACTTTTGTATCTGTATCTATATCTATATCTAGGTGTATCTATTTCTAAGTATATCTATTTCTAAGTATATCTATATCTATATCTATATCTATATCTATATCTATATCTATATCTATATCTATATCTATATCTATATCTATATCTATATCTATATCTATATCTATATCTATATCTATATCTATATCTATATCTATATCTATATCTATATCTATATCTATATCTATATCTATATCTATATCTATATCTATATCTATATCTATATCTATATCTATATCTATATCTATATCTATATCTATATCTATATCTATATCTATATCTATATCTATATCTATATCTATATCTATATCTGTATCTGTATCTATATCTATATCTATATCTATGTCTATATCTATATCTATATCTATATAAAGGAATAACTAAGCTTATATTAGTTGGGCGACAAAATAACCCTCTATTCAAAAAAGTTAGGGTATTATAGATTCGTTCAACTCAATTAAATTTATAAGCGGACTGCAGAATAGCGACAATCGGAAAACGGAAATGGATTAACAAGACAATGATTAGTTTGCATACAGACAGACAGACAGACAGAGAATCAATACCGATCAGAAATATATATAATAGGTACAGTTAGTTCTGGGCACAGTTCGCCTAACATAAACTTAAAATTATTTATTACATCATCATGCAACAGCGCCTGGCGAGATGCTCAAGGCAAGAGAATAATTTTCAATTATATAAACAAAATTTTTAAATTTCAAAATGCAGCATAAATATGCAGTGTTGCTTAAGCTTGACATCTATTCAGAAATTTGTCAACACTTTAAAGTAATATTAAACAGCGCCATCCGTTAACGAGTTAGCCTAACCACAAGTTGTACCTAGTATTTAATCCAGACTCGTTTTCTCAAATCCCTTTATACAATTGTTACACGTATTTTTACTACACCCATTATTGTCCTTTGGTGCATAATAAACATAAACTCAATAGATGACGCTGTGAATTTGGGGGCGAATTCGTTGTGGCGCCACCTGGAGGTGCAACCACCTGTTTCCACAAGCAACGCCAGCTGGCGTCAGTTTTCAGTTTTTAAAGACTCATAAAGCGCCATCTACAGGCAGCGGTATTGTGTGTTGGAGGACACAAAGGCCAGCTGCATCGGCTTGACGCACAAGAGATCCGCGATCCTCTTGTACTTGGCCAGCAGGATGTTGGGAAAGGGCAGCGCGCCCAGATCGTCCACATAGTACATGTGCTGCTTTTCCGGCTGGCCGGGCATCCGCACAGGCTTCGTCTCGTCCAGGGGGTTGCAGGTCTCGATGCAACGTCGAAAGTCGTCGAGACGTTCGTGAAAGTCCGGCACAAAGACACAGGGATCCAGGGCGAGCATGACGAGGCCCAGATTGGGATTGCAGCCCTGGGAGTCGGACCACCAGCGCGGCACACGCGTAGCATAATTGGCGCCGGACATGACGCCGCACAGCATATCAATCATGGCCGCCAGGCAGTAGCCCTTGTGCCCGCCAGCCGGATACAGGCGCTGGGCACGCAGCGCCAGACTGGGGAAGCAGGTGGGCAGGCCGGACTCGTCCGCCGCCCAAGTGTTCGGTATAAACTCGTTCTTCATGTACGCCCACTCCAAGGCGCCGATCTCCTTCATGGTGACGGCCATGTCGAGCATGAAATGCGAGTGCTTGGCATCGGCGCCAAAGGCCAGGCAATTGGCGCCCAGACTGGAGTCCCGGGCGCCCGGCGCCAAAAGCATTGGCGCCGCATTGGACAGCACCAGGCCAATATAGCCCTTGGCCATGGCCCGGAACGCATACCAGGCGGCCATGCCGATGTGATGCGAACGCTTGGCCACCACGAAACCGATGCCCGATTTGCGCGCCTTCTCCACGGCCAGATCCATGCAATAGTTGCCCACAAAGACGCCCATGGCGCAGTTGCCATCCACATGCGCTGTGGCCGCCGTTTCGCTGATAATCTCCGGCTCTGCCGTAATGTCCACATAGCCCTGTTGCAGATCCTTTAGGTACATCTCCAGCCGATTGATGCCCGAGCCGTGCACACCTCTGTAATCGGCGGCGAGCAGAAAGTCGCTGATGGAGCGCAGCTTCTCGAACGGCACGCCCACCCGTCGCAGGCAGTCGTGTATGAAGCGTCGCGCCTCGCCCTCAATCACCAGGGAGGTGTGCGTCATCTCCACGGGACATTCCAGGGGCATGCGAACGCCGCTCAGTTGCCGCCGGAAACGCAGTCGCCAAGCGGAGGACGACCGCAACAGTTGTCGACCGCATTTGCTCAACATGCTGGAATTTCTGGACAGGATTGCTCTACTGGTTGGGGTTTGGGCTTGTTAGTTGTGTATATATATATATTTATTATTTGATTGGGATTGGGGGAAAGTTTTCAAAACTGTCTACGGATTATACGATTATACGATTATATATGTTGTATATGTTGCATATGTTGCATATGGATATTTTAGTTGAGGGCGGTGGACGTCAGGACGGCCACGCCGCGCTCGTAGAAGCTGTGCGAATCCTGGCCAGCGGCCACGGCCAAATCCACCGTGAAGAGCAGCTCGGTGCGCGTCGAGTTCAAGTAAACGGGCAACGTTAGTTTGCTTACCCGCGGCTCCGACGAGATTCTGTAAAGGATTAGACATGAGTCAAGGCAGAGTCCTGCACCTAGCCTGGGGGAATACTCACTTGGCCCACTTGAGTATGGTCAGGGGCAGATCCATCATTATGGTGGAGGCGAGCAGCAGCTCGTTGTTCTTGCACTGGGCGCCCTGCAGCTTCAGGCCGGTGACACCGAAGCTGCTGTCCTTTTGATCGGTCTTCAGACCCGCATCCGTGATGGTCACGTCCAGGGTGAGCTCCTCGAGGGACCAGCTGTTGGCCTGGGCCACGCACTGCCTGGTGGCCGTGATATATGCCTCGGGGTTGAGCAAACCGCCCAGCCAGACGGGGAAGCCCTGCAGCTCCTTGGCGCCTGCCTGCGAGACCAGCTGCGACACCTTCTGCAGCTGCTGGACACGCATGCTAAAGTCCGTGATCCACTGGATGACGGTGCAGCCGGCGGGCACCGTGTAGCGTTTCCAGCCCTTGGGTATGATGCCGCGCACCAGTTCGGAGAGCATGGAACGATGGTGATTCGTTTGCTTCTTCTCGCCCTGGCAGATGAGCACCACATCCTGCAGATCGGAGATGACCGTCTGCAGCAGGCGGGCGCCGCTTGTCACCTCACGCTCAAAGTACCGATAGAGCGGATCCTTGATGTTCTCCACGGTGCGCTTGAGCACCTGCAAATTCTTGGGGAGCAGCTCCAGCCAGGCGGTGGCCGAATTGTGCAGCGTCTTCATCCAGGACGGACGGCCGTCCTCGCTGCGTGCCACGGCCAGGGCCAGGGCCGATTGCTCGGACTGCTCCTCGACGCTGTAGGCCAGCTCGTCGTCATCCTCCAGCTGCTGCATTTTGAGCAACTTGCTGACCAGATCCGTGCCGCGTGTCGTCAGCAGCACCTTCTCCGCATTGTTGGGCAGACCCAGCCAGGAGGGCGTCTGTCGGTCGGTCAGGTTCTCGATCCACTTGAGGAAATGGTCGCGCCGTGTGCCATCCGGCATGGTAATGTGCCGCAGGCCGCCCGAGGCGCCATCCACGTTCGCGACCAGGGCAAAGTCCGCCTCGAAGCTGCGCGCCGTGAACAGTTTCTTCAGGAAGGATTGCAGCAGACGCTGATCGAAATCGTTGTCAATCTTGCCACCATAAATGGACTGGGAGAGCAGCGTGACCAGCGCATCCCAGGGCACCTTCTCCGGCGGCAAATTGGTGCGTCCCATGGCCGTCGTGTCGATCCAGGTGTCCAGCGTATCGCAGGCGACGCGCAAATCCGACTCATTGAACTCGTACTTCTTGGCCCAGCCGAGGGGCACATAGCGCAGTCGCTCCTGGACGATGGCATGGAACCAGGCGAGCAGGAAATAGAGCCGGGCACGCTCGCTGGGCGTCTTCATCATGCGCGCCGCGGGCACCGTCGAGAAGGTGCGCAACAAATTGGCCCGGATGCCTGGCGGCGGCTCAAAGACAAAGATGCGGCCGGCGCGCAGCAGATTGACGGGCACCTTGGGATTGATCTCCATGGTGAGGAACAGACGGAAGCCGGAGTGCGGCTGCAGCGAGTGCATCTTCTTCTCCAGCTGCACCAGCCACTGCGGCGCCAGATGCACGTTCTTCAGCAGTACCCAGCGACCCGTTTTGCAGGCCATATTGATGGCCCGCTCGGCCTGATTGAAGCCCTCGGCGGAACCGATGGCAATGCTCGAGATTTGCTTGTTCTGCTCGGCGGCCAGATCATCCACACGACCGGACGCATCAAAGCCGGGCACGGAGCAGAGCAAGGCGGGCGTATTGCAGTTCAGCTGCTTGTCCACAACGGCCGCAAAGTCCAGCTCCTGCTCGGCGTTCGGCATAAAGTCCACGCCCAGCACCGTATTGACCACATTGTGGGCGGCGGCAATAACGCGATCCGGCCGGAAGGCCTGAATGAGCAGCAGCTGATGCACCGAGCTCGAGATGGCACTCAATGCCTTCGACTCGTCCCACAGCTGGGGCACACACTGCTCGGGCGAGCTCTGCTGCAGCCAGGCGCCCAGCTCCGGCATGGAGCGCACCTTCTCGACCAGCTTGCGGAAGATGGGCAGCCGTGTGGCGAGGCGATTGACGCCCTCGATTTGCTCGCCGCTGAGTCCCTCGACGTGCGTCGGATTCGCCAGCAGACCCTCGCGGCTGCGCAGGAAGAAATTGAACTCGGCGTCCAGATTGGATTCTCCGGTGCCCTTCAGATGGATCTTGCACATGAGCAGCGCAAAGGTCAGGCGATCGTTGTGCAACATGCCGCGTGCGACACGCTCGTAGCACACCTGGAACAGATCACGGGTAACGATGCCCAGACGCTCCGAGTGATCGCTGCGACCCTCGAGCCGTGGATTGTTGTACAGCACCGTCGAGAAGATGTCGAGGAACATCTTCAGCGAGTACTGGTACAGGAAGTGCACCTGATTGAGGCTGTCCATCGTGAAGTACATGTTGCTGCAGGCAACCGATAGCGGCAGATATTGTTGCGACACGGTCTCGATCTCGGCTATGACCTTGTCCGTCTCATCGACCTTCTGGTTTATGTCGTAGGCTTCCTTTTTGAGCGTCTCCAATGTCGTAATGACAGAATCGTCGTCTAGAATCTTGCCCTTGGCATCGTTCAGTGCCTGCAACAGACTCTTCTCCAGCTGGCGCAGACGCAAACGGAACTCGCCCTGCAGCTTCAGCAGATCGGAGCGCTTCTCATCGATGTCCGGACGCTCGGCCTTGAGCACCTGGTTCAGGCACTGCGATTGCAGCGAGCTGCGCGTCACCGTGAAGTTAACGAACGTGACCCTCGAGCAAATGTCCGGCGGGAACTCAACGGTCGGATCGCGCGTCGACAGGAAGATGACGAACGAGGGCGACAAATCGATGTCCTGGTCGCCCAGCGTGATCAGCACACGGCCGCCAGTGCGACGCAGCTCGCGATTCAGCACGGGATTCAATATGGGATCATAGTTCTCGACATCCTGGACGAGCAGGGGATTGCCGAAACGCAGCGCGGACTCGAGGTTCTTGCGGAACGAATCGTCCAGGAAGGAGGTCTTCGTTATCTTCTTGCCCGCATACTCGTTCAACAGGAAGGTGGTCGCCTGACCGGACGGATCAATGATCAGCGGATAGCGATTGAAGCGCTTCAGCATGATCGCATTCTCCGTGCACAGATCGTCCGAGGGCAGAGCGTTCGCCTGCCAGCGCAAGCGCTCGTCCGGATTGGACAGATACTCGGTGCGCGCAATGTCCGCGCGATACTGAATGCTCGCCGACTGCAGATGCTGCGACCAGGTCGTAAACAGATTCAGGCGATAATGCTGATCAAAGTAGCCGCCGTAGGCGATGAAGGCGGCCGAGAGAAGGACATCGCCGACAATTGTGGACATTTGCGACTTGAATGTCTCGCTGGTGGACTCCCAGCGTTCGCGTTCGATGTTCAGGCTCTTGAGCAGCGCGATCGAGCGATCGACCTTGGCCTGAACGTTCTCCAGATCCGTTTTGATGGCCTGCGCCTGGGATATGAGCTGTGCGTATTCCTCCTTGTAGGCGGCAATGCTGCGCTCCAGCTGCTCCACCAGATCCTTCGTCTCCTTGGCGCTGTGCAAATTCACATCGGCCTGCTCCTCCAGCGAGCGCAGCTCCTCGCGCAGCGGCTCCACGCGCTTCAGCATGTCCGCGTATTCAATCTACGATGGGTTAGAGGTTAGAATTTGAACTGGAACAGGAATTGAACTGGAAACTTGCCTGAGCTATGGCCCATTTGACCATGGGACCGCAGGCCATGCTGGCGCGATTGACCTTCTCGAAGTTGTAGTCCGGATTGCTCAGATACTTGGACTTCATCTTCTCCCTGACCTCATCGCTGTGAAAGGCAAGAAAGATTAATAAAGGGAGCTTTAAAGTGTTGCGGGTTATTTTGGTATGAACTGAGCAAGCAAAGCGTTTGGTTATTTGTGGATCAACGCGAAAGTTTAACCAAAACCATAAAATACATTAAATTAAGGCCAATAAACCAGGTTTTGATTAAGATAACAAACAAATAATATTTACAGACAACGCAGCTCGCTACGGGAAAGAACAAAATCTCATAACTAATAAAAAGAATTTTTCTACACTCCAAGAAAAAAACAAGAGGAAATCAAATCGGAACGAAAAGAAAAAAAGGAGGAATAAATCTGTTTCATGCTTACGTTATGTTCTCGGTACCGAAGTTAGATACAATTGAATTAATGAAATTTTCACGCATTATCACGGCGCGTATCGATTTCCAATCTGTCGCATTCTCGCCCAGCAGCAGGCAAATCGATTCGAGTGCCAATTTCACCACCGACGGCGGATTCGCCATCGTTCGCACCTCAACGAGTTGCTGTTTGCGTATGGACTTCACGGCTGTGCGTAGTTTGTTGTTTGTTGTTTGGTTAACATGGAGGATCAGAATTATTATAAACGATATACAGCACACAACAAATGGCACTTAACTAAATGTTATACTCCGTATCATTAGCCTAACAATGTTATAATAACAGTTACAAGATTATTAACGATTTATTATGCTCAAATATGGGCTATTCCAGGGCCTTACGCCTGACTTTTTTAAGGGAAACAACCAACAATTATGCGAATCAAATCAATGGATTAGTTTTTGAAGCAGAAAACGGAAGCGTTCGACATTAACTCTCGGATTTCCTGGCACATTTTCTTTGTGTATAAGCTGGAAGAATTCTACATGGAATAGGTAGAAGTTATCGTTTTTATATATCTATCCATACA